AATGGACAGTTTTTTTTAACATTTTCTTGTGCTACTATGAATAAAATTACTTTAGAAATACTCTTTTCTCACTGTTCCCTCAGGAGTATGTCCAACTGCAACTGCTAAAGACACTGGAAAGGAAGGACAAGTTTTGACAGGGTACACATGCAGCAAACACAGGAATAAGTTCAGGTCAGCYCAGGAAATAGCAGTTACTGTCCTCGCTTTAGTTCTCCATAGCTGATGACTTTTGTTTGTGTGTGTTACTGAGGATCAAACCCAGGGCCTTGAATGTGCTAGGCAAATGGTCTTCCATTGAGCTACATATCTAATATCTCTTGCTTTATTCTTGGACTCTCTGAAACCATTCTTTCCTCTGCATTCTCTTGCTCATAGCTTCTCTGCAGGCAGCCCCTCGACTGGACCTCTAAATTCTGAGTTTCTCTTGCTTCAGGAAGAACATTGCCCTCTCTTCTCTAGGCCTCCAAGATAACATTATCCAGACTCAGGGCATTAAAATTCACATATATGTTGATAATCCCCTGCTGATATATGCTGATAGATTAAACTCGATCTTTGCTGGGTGCAGTGGTGCATACCTGTGGTCCCAGCCACTTGAAAGCAGGAGGATTGTTTGAGCCCAGGAGTTTGAGCCCAGCCTGGGCAACATAGCAAGATCTCATCTCTGGGGGAAAAAAATAGTTTTAAAAACTCACAAAAACCAAACTCTAGCTTCAACCCAGATCTCTAAGAGATATGGAGTTACCTAAATGATGTGTGTCCCTCAGGATGTCCCAGAGGTGTCTGGAACTTAACATGTCAAATAAAACTCAAAGTTTTGTCTCTGAAACCTATCCTACTATTCTTCCCTTTTGCTGGATATGCCACCATGTACACAGCTTTCTTCTTTCCCCTTACCACCTCCCAAATCTAATTCATCCCTACATCCTGTTGATTCCACCYCCAAAATACATTTTGCATCTGTCCACTTCTCTCCACTGCAACCTTTTAAGCACCACCTCTCATGTAGATGACTATAATACCYTCCTGAGTGATCCCTCTGCATTTTCTCTGTCATGGGCAGTCCATTCTTCTCCTAGCAGACAGCCAATCTTTAAAACATATATAAATCTAATCATGTTACTTGCCTGCTTAAAAACTGCCTGTGGTTTCTTTCCCATTTCACTTTGAAAAAAATCCATATCCAAGGCTGGGGCCATAGTTAGTGGTAGAGTGCTTGCCTGGCACATGTGAGGCACTGAGTTCGATCCTCAGCAGCACATAAAATAAATATATTGTGTCCATCTACAACTAAAAAATATTTTAAAAATCCATATCCATATCAGGGTTTACAGGTTAGGCAAATCTGGTCCCTGCCATTCCTGCCGACAACTCTATTTGCCCTCTGGCCCAGCCAGCTAAACTGGATTCTCTCTCTCCTCTCTCTCTCTCTTTCATACTGGAGATTAAGCCCAGGGGCACTCTACAACTTGGTCACATCCCCCAATCCTTTTGATTTTTTATTCTGAGATGGGATCTAAATTGCCCAAGTTGGCCTTGAACTTGTAATCCTTTTGCTTCAGCCTCTCAAGTTGCTAGGATAGCAGGTGTATGTCACCATGCTGAGGTTTCTCTCTGTTTCTTGACCATTCCAAACTCCACAGCACCTGAAGTTTTTCCCCTTTCCCTCTGCCCAGAATGTTCTTGGTTGTATCACATGGCTAAGTCCTTCTTGACCTTCAGATTTTGGCACTGTCTCAAAGTGTTTTTCTCTTTCTACCTAAGTGACTGACTCCCTCTACCTTCTCCCGTCCACATTTTTGTCTATCCTTGTAGTGTGTCTTTTTTGTGTGTGCTAAAGTTGAACCCAGGGCTTGCAAGTGCTATACCATTAGCCACTTCCCCAGCCCTTTTAAGATTTTAATTTGAGTGGCTGGGAAAGGTGGTGCACTCCTGTAATCCCAGTGTCTCAGGAGGCTGAGACAGGAAAATCATGAGTTCAAAGCCAGCCTTAGGAACTCAGTGAGGCCCTAAGCAACTCAGCTAGACCCTGTCTCTAAATAAAATACAAAAAATAAAAAAGGGCTGAGGATGTGGCTCAGTGGTTAAATGTCCCYGAATTCAATCCCACCCCCCCACCAAAAACATAAAAATAATACAGAAAATTTTTTTAAAAAAATTTTGAGGCAAAGTCTGGCTAAGTTGCCCCAGGCTGGCCTTGAACTTGCAATCCTCTGCCTCAGCCTCTGGAGTTGCTAGGATTACAGGTGTTTTCCACCTTGCCCAGCCTAGACCATATCTTTTAATGGCTGGGATCAGATTGTCTGTTGTACTCCAGTGTACAACCAGCACCTAAACCAAAGTCTGGCACAGAGTAAATACTAAATATTTACTGAGTAAATGGATTAATTAGCCTTGTACTGGGTAAAAGGGATACAGAGGTGACCCATTTAGAAGGGAGGATGTATTTACATGACCAGGACACCAGAATCTTCCTAGAAGAAATATAGTTTCTTCTAATAACTAACATTTATTAGTTCACCAATTCAAGATCCATTTGTGTGTGTGTGTGTGTGTGTGTGTGTGTGTAAACGTACATATATATTTTTAAGATGGGGTCTTGTTATGTAAGTTGCTCAGGCTGGTCTTGAATTTGTGGGCTTCCCAAGTAGCTGAATTTACAGGTGTGCACCACCACACTGGGCTTTTTTTGTTGTTGTTGTGGTAGTTGGGAGATGGATTTAGATCCATCATGAGGACCTTAGGGTAAGTGCTTTAGCACTGGGCTATACCCCCAACCACCATTTTGTTTTTAATGTGCCTAAAGTCATACAGTTTCTATAAGTGGTAAAGCTGAGATCCAAAATCAGGCAATCTTCCTTCAGAGCCGGAAACTATTTTTTGGGTAGGAGGGATTGAACCTAGGAGCACTTAACCACTGAGCCACATCCCCATCCCCTTTTTACTTTATTTAGGGACAAGACTTTGCTAACTTGCTGAGGCTGGCTTTGAACTTACAATCCTTCTGCCTCAGCCTTCCAGCCACTGGGATTATAGCTGTGTGATACTGCACCAGGCTGAGCCTGCACTCTTTTAAAAATAATTTGAGGTGAAAGACACTGTTTTATCAGGTGTGTGTGTTTGCCGTACTAGAGAATAAACTCAGTCCCTACTGAAAGCTAGGCAAGTGCTCTACCACTAAGCTACCCCCAGATAAAAATTAGCCATTTTATTTTTATAAAAATATTTTTAGATGTAGATGGTCACAATACGTTTATTTACTTATTTTTATGTGGTGCTGTGAATCACCACTGAGCCACAACCCCATCCCTTATTTTTAATATTTTTATAGTAGATAAACACAATACCTTTATTTTATTTTTATCTGGTGCTGAGAATCAAACCCAATGCCTCACACGTACTAGGCAAGTGCTCTACCAACTGAGCTATAACCCCAGTTCATCCAAAGTTAGCCATTTTAAATTGAACAATTCAGCAGCAGTTAGCACATCAATATTGTGCAACCATCACCTCTATCTAGTTCCAAAATATTTCCATCAACTCCAAAGCAAAACTCCTACCCCTTAAGCAATTTCCCCCTTCTCTTCTCCATGCACTTTTTGATCTTCACAATAACCCAACTGTATGATTGAGAAAAAGAGGTAAGAGTTTAGTGATAGTTCCAAGGTCACACTGCTAGTAGATATGGAAAAGTGATTCTGACTCCAGTGCCTACACTTTTGGAAGAAACCACAAGGAGGGGGGCTAAATTTCTGTTGGGGCAGGGACCTAGAACTAAGTGCGCCCTCAAGTGTTGAGGTAAAACTGCAATTAGGACTGTACAGGCGATTGGCAGAGCCAAAAGTAATGCAAGCCCTAGAGCAGTTACAGGTCAGGAATTAGAAATGTCAGCACTGGGCTGGGGATGTGGCTCAAGCGGTAGCGTGCTCGCCTGGCATGCGATCCTCAGCACCACATACAAAACAAAGATGTTGTGTCTGCGGAAAACTAAAAAAAATAAATATTAAAAATTCTCTGTCTCTCTCTTTAAAAAAAAAAAAAGAAAGAAAAAAAGAAATGTCAGCACTGCAGGAAGCATTGCAAACACCTCAAGAACAAGTCTGTCACTCCTTGGGCAGCTTCAATAGGCTGCAGTCTGAGTCAGAAGAGGCACAGCTAGGTGGGCGTGTTTTGCCTTCATGGGGTCAGGCCCTCCCCGGAAACCCCAGGTGAGTTGCCAGGGTGTATAGATCCCAGAAAAGAGGAGGAAGGAGATCTGAGTCAACAGCATCCCACTCTGAGGGGGGCCTCCAGGACACGGGAACTCCTTGGTATCTGTCTTATACTTCTTGGAGGAGCTGTCATCTCTAGTATCCCTCTCCCGCAACACAGGGGCGCTCTTTCTGGGGCTCCTCTCGCTCCCTGCCCCTCTCTAGCGATCTCAGATATGAGGCACTTTTCTGAGTTATATTCAGTTTCCTCTTCTCCTTTGAGAGGGCTGGGCGGGCCCATCCTGCTCCAAAGAGAAGGCTTCTTTCGCAAGCTCTCTACTTTTTTTCTGACCAGGGTAGTAGCCGAGTTCTAATCAACAATGCCCGGCGCTCAGCCCAATTCCGCCCCAGGTGTTGCCAGAGGGCAGCTCCATGGAAACGAAAACATCACAACTTCACGAAAGTATCGCGAGAAGCGCGGTTGAGCCCGCGGCCAAGAAGAGGCGGAGCGAGGGCGGGAACGCTGAGTGAAGGGGGAGGAGCCAGAGCGCTTCCGAGGTCCCGGTCGCGAGACTGTCTCTCCCTAGGCAGCGCCCCCGCGTGACTGCGCTTTACATAATCGCGGCCTCACGCGTCACAGTGGCGTACTCCAGTTCAGATCGAATCAGAGTGGTGTAAAGCTTCGCGTTTCGCCCTCTCCTGCTTGATCGACGTCGAAGTGAACCAGTGAACGGGCGTTCAGTGCCGTGGTGCCCGCCCCGGTTCGCCCAGGCCCGCCCGCGCCGGCCCGCGCCAACCCGCCCTCCTGCCGCAGCTAGCAGCCTGCCGCCACCGCCAGGTTGTGCCTCAGACTGTCAGATAAAGCGGCGGGCCGGGCCCGCGGGGCGGTGAGCACGGCCCGGGCCGGACATGGCGGCGCTCTACGCCTGCACCAAGTGCCACCAGCGCTTCCCCTTCGAGGCGCTGTCTCAGGGGCAGCAGCTGTGTAAGGTGCGCGGGCTGGGGCGGCGGCCGGGAACTGGGGACGCAGCAGGCGCGGCCCGGAACTCCCGGTTGTGCGGGACGCCCGGAGGGTCCCTCAGGCTGGGTGTGGCAGGCCCGCCTAGCTGAGGAGACGCTCCCTCCCCTCTGGGGGCCGGCGGGGCACGTGGGGGAGTCCCAGGCCCAGTCCAGGCCCCCCGCGGCTGGCGTGTCCGGGTGCTTAGCAACCGCGGGGGATTGTTTTCCGAACCCGCGAGGTCGGGGGAGGGGGACGGCGGATCCCCTTCTTGCCGGTGACCAGCCACTCCGGGGATTCCTTTGGGCTGTCTTCCTCCCCAACGCGGTCCGCCCTGGGTGCCTACTCAGGGACCCCCTGCTCCGCCTGGGTTAAACTTGAGAGTTGGGTGCTGCCAGGGAGGAGTGTCTAGAACTCGGGACACCTCATGGGCACTCTTCATCCGGTCTGAATCGAAGGTGGCAAGGCTCTATTTAAAAAAAGAAAAAAGTCCCCAATGAAGCGCACGAATCAGGATGACTTTTAAACATCTAGTTGGTGGCCTTCGGTCCTCGCTTTAACCAGTTTTTACTCCTAAAGTCACAGTGTCTCTAAGTTTGCTTCATTCACTGTGCCTATGTCAATGAATAGAAGTGCTGCAGAGCAACAATAAAAGTTACCAAGCCCACTGAAGAGTGATGTTGAGATATCCTTAGATAATCCAGAGTTTGTGACTCTGATTGGAGTAAGTCACAGTTGTATGTCAAGATTGCCTCAGATGGCCATGTTTACCAGATCTGAGAGAAGGCAAGCGCTTGAGTGCCCTTTTTAGCCTAAAAATTACATATGATTTAAGGAAGTATTAAGTACATAAATAAAAATGATTTTAATCTAGCACCTTCATTTCACAAGTAAACCTACTCAAAATCACACAGTAGCACAAGAATCAGAACTAGAATCTAGGATTTCAGATTCTCACTCTGGGTCTTATTCATATATGTTTGTTTTGCAATTTATGACCAGTACCATACAAATTCTTACTCCCACATCAACAGCACAACAGTGATGCAAATATTACAGAGGAGGAAAATAAGGCCCAGAAAGTTAAGTGACTCACTCAAGCATAGTGGCTGTGCTAGGAATAGTATCCAGGTCTTCTTCCTACTGAAGGCTGTTTCCGTTTGTGAGTGCCTTTTAAAATTATATCCTCATTTCATTTCAGGAATGTCGGATTGCACACCCAGTTGTGAAGTGCACCTACTGCAGGACTGAGTACCAGCAGGAGAGGTAGAGTTTTGGTTGACCATGAAAGATGTTATTAGGCTCTTCCCTCTTAAAAAACTGTGTTTGTGTTTCATGTGCAGATCTGTAATTAATTTCATTGTAATATACAGATCAGTAGTGAATTACATTATTTACAGATTCAACAGTTTCCTGATACATTGAAGGGTGTATAATACATACATTATATCCTAAATTTTATCCTTTGATTGTTTTTTTAATTTTTTTCTGTACTAGGAATTGAACCCTTGAACATGCTAGGCAGTGCTGTACCACTAAGCTACATCCCCACCCCTCTTTAATTCAATTTAATTTTTAAAAATATATATTTATTTTTTAGTTGTAGTTGAACACAATATCTTTATTGTATTTATTTATTTTATGTGGTGCTAAAGATAGAACCCAGGGCCTCACACGTGTGCTAGGCCAGCGCTATATAGCTGAGCCACAATCCCAGCACCCCAATTTAATTTTTATTCTGAGATGGGAGTCTCACTAAGTTGCATAGGCTGTCCTCAATATACAGTCCTCCTGCTTCCGCCTCCCAAATAGCTGGAATTATAGGTATGTACCACCCTGCCTGGCCATTCCTTTAATTTTTAATTTTTATCTACTTATTTATTTTTTTATGGTGTTGAGGATCAAACCTAGAACCACATACATGCTAGGCAAGCACTCTACCACTGAGCTACATCCCTGATTGCTTACATTTTTAAAGTTACTTAGTTTTCAGGTCCTTGATCATTTTATATAGGGGTTATGATCTTCCAGCCCTAAAGAAACCAACCCCATAGCAGTAAAACATGAGCCTCAAGTTCCAGTATGTTTAGAGGATGAAAAATTTATAAGGTCAAAGAAGATACTTTTAGAAATATGACAATCCTGATAAAAGGTTTGTTAGCCCTAGCCACATTTGAAACTCATTTTACACTTTCCTGATGTGAATCAGTCTCTGCCTGCACTCTCCTTTTGGTACTAGGATTGAGCCCTAACCCTAAACCCCTCAGCCCTTTTAATTTTTTTGAGACAGATTTTGCTCTCTTGCTAAATTACTGAGGACCTCACTAAATTGTTGAGGCTGGCCTTGAACTTGAACTTGTGATCCTCCTACCTTTTCCTCCTGAGTTGCTACAATTACTGGCTTGTATCACCACACCTGGCAAAATACTCAAATCTTAAGTACTTCATTCAACGAATTTTACAAATAGTAACCCCTAAACCTACAGAATGTTACCCCCATTCCTTTCAGTCCTGTCATGCCTCCTCCTAGTCTTTCCTCAACACTCCTTGTTTTCCCTGGGCAACCACTATTCTGTTGATTTCCATTTCTATGATCAATTAACTTTTCCTATTGAACTTCTTATTAATGGATCATACGGATCATACTTAGAGCTGTGTTTTATCTTTCTCATTTAGGCCAATAATTCATTGTGAGTTAATTTTTGTGTAATGGTGAGATATGAGCTTTGATCCTTAATTTACACCACACACAGAAATTAATCCAAGATCATGAAAAGACATTTTTCTTTTTTTTTAATATTTTTTATTAGTTATTATTATTATGTGGTACTGAGAATAGAGAGCCAGTGCCTCACACATGCTAAGCAAGCTCTCTACCACTGAGCCACAACCCTAAGGTCATTTTTCTTTGTGTGTGAGTGTGTGTGTGTGTGTTTTTTTGTTTTTTGTTTTTTTGGTACTAGGGATTGAACCCAAGGATCCTTAACCACTGAACCATATCCCCAGCCCTTTTTTACATTTTATCTGGAGACAGGGTCTCACTGAGTTGCTTAGTGCCTCTCTAAGTTGCTGAGGCTGACATTAAACTTGTAATCTTCCGGGCTGGGGATGTGGCTCAAGCGGTAGCGCGCTCGCCTGGCATGCGTGCGGCCCGGGTTCGATCCTCAGCACCACATACCAACAAAGATGTTGTGTCCGTCGAGAACTAAAAAATAAATATTAAAAA